TATTGAAAAACCAGTCATGCTCCAATCTGCTGGCTGAGCCAACCCCTCCTTCTGGGTTGCATTTTAAGAAAAAAAAGGGCAAGAGTGTCTCAAAGAAAACATTTCAAGCTTAAAAATAAATGGTGTCTTGGCCAAAGGGCTTTCACAAGATCATGCGCAAAGAAAAGGGGAAAAAAATAAACAAACAGCTTCCTGACAGGAAAGAACATTCCTGGCCCTCATGATTCAGCAGCAGGGTTGAACCCAGACCAGTCACGGGCTCAGTGCTATGACAGAGTCCATGCTGCTGCTTTCCTTTCTTCACAGAGATCACCCCCTACTGGGCTGGCATATGCCCGCATGCAGCTCCCTGAGGGCCGTGCGGTGTGCAATCACATGGCATAAACATACGCAAACACAAGCAGCAACAAAACGCCCTCGCCTGAAGCACTCGTCACCAGGGTGTCCCAGGGATCACCGCTTTTGATGTGGTCTTTTGCAGGAGGGGCACAACACATCTTTCAGAAAGATGGGATGTGCAGCAGGAAAAAAAATAAAGACATTCATTAATCTTTCAAATTTTCTGGCCCTGAATAATTTACGGTGGCTCTTCTCATGCTGTGGGAAGAATTCCCTCCCATGTGTAACAAAGAGCAAGCCCCGTTTCCCTTCTGCCTGAAACCGACCATCTTTAAGGGAGACCCTGGCTACCCATCACCACCTTCTGCCATGGCCACCCCCAGCCCAAAGGTCTGGAGGTCATTCTGCACATGGCGAGTCATCTTTAGGCCACTGCCATGGCCACGGATCTGAGACACTGGGTGATTTGGTGGCTGAGATCACACCAGTTACATAATTCAGATGCAAGATCCCACATGCCAGGACCAGATATGTATAATAGAATATGTGTGCGCATATCCATCTGTGTAATCATACAAGTCAAATTCTTCTTTTTTAAACTCTGCCCTTGTACTTTACATTAAGTATTAAATGTGTTGTTACAACCCGCCCCCCCACACACACACACACACACACACACACACACTTTCGTACACACATATACACTTACTTTTCGACTCAGCCCTTGAGATGAGTCAGTTGCGTGCACTCTATTCTCCCTGCTGTGGGGGAATAGCACAAACAATGAAGAATTTGGCATTTTCACTGCAGTGAAATGCTCACAGCCCCCACAACCCCCTCCTCCCCATTCTTATAAAAACAGGGTCCTTCTGTGGAAGCCTCAGAGCTTATTCTGAGCAGGACAGTAAAGAAGAGGCTCCATAGAGGGGGGGATGGAAAATGAACAGCACCCGTGTTACTCTAGAGAGACTGAGAGGGGAAGATGGATGGACAGACTGTTTCCACGACGATGTGGTACAGTGCCAGCATGTGGAGGTGTCAGAGAAGGCCGCGGCTGCAGACAGACTTTTCTGGTGCTGAAAAGAGCACTTTAAAATTAAATCAAAGTTACCCAATGTTTACATAATGAGCTGATACTGATAACCAGTGAGGCAGTCCAAATAAGCTGCTTGATTCTCCGTAGTAGTGCTGGTACAAACAAAGATTAAGATTTAAACCCCAATCTTCCAGTGACAGTTACATGGCCCCAACAGTGTTCCCCCATTACAGCAAACCATAAGTGGTTACTATTTGCTGGCCCAGGTCCATTAGAGTCAACGTTTTTATTTAACATTTTTGAGTGCCACGGTACCAGCTGTGTTGAAAATATTAGGAGAGCAAGTTCTTCACTTAAATTGTATTTAGACTCTGAGATTCTGAGACTGAGAGTCAGAATGAGCAGCTGTCCCGTCAAGATAGACGCAAACACCTCATCAGAGTGTTCACTGTGTGCCCTAGATAAACACCAGCGTCTGAATCAAACCGGGGCTGGGGATTAGATCAAAGCGCTCCATGGCACTCTAACACAACTCTTCCTGAGATAGAGAAAAAGAGGGAATTGGAGCGGGGGCAGAGTGAGAGAGGAGCAGGAGAGGAGAGAGAGAGGGAGAAAGCTCAGAAAGGTATACAAATCAGCTGGCACAACTCAAGAGGTGCTCTTGAAATGAAACAGTGAAAGAACATAAGAACAAACAGATAGCTTTGCGCACTTGTCAATGATTGTGCTCGGCGTAACAAGGGGATGACAATACCCTAATGAGCCAGTGCTGAGAGCTCTCCATTTTAAAGAAAAGGGGAAGAAGAGAAGGTGGACCTTCTGTTGGGCTTGAAACCTGCAGTATGAAACCCAGCCTATCACAACCCAGTGTGCGGCCCTGGCCTCTTCTTCAGCCTCTTGCAGGTATGAAAAGAGTCCCCTTGTCCATGAGTCCACCAAAGAGCCTATTTTTTCTTTTTTTAGGATTGGTGGTGGTGATGGAGGGGCAGGGACTATAGAGTTTATGATGGTTTATACTATCAAGGATCTCCCAAAGGACAAGGAGCAGTACCAAAATTCCTGTCTTGGAGGACAGTTGGATATTAGTATGTGCACGCATGCACGCACACGCACAGACACACACGCACAGACACACAGGACCCCCTGGGGCCTCACAGCCTGTGGGTTCTCAGGACCAAGCTACTGTGTTTACTGAGACCATGTGAGGCTGTGGAATTTCCTCTCTGGCAGGCCGGATATGGGGATCCCTCCACACCGCACACAGGACACGTGTCTGAGCACAGGACATCCTAAGAGAGGGGGAGGCCACGTGACACACACACACACACACACACACACACACATAAATTATATCACACACTACACAAACACTCAAATACATGCATACACATCCACACACACAAGCAGGTACACACCCAGGCATGATCACACAAAACACGATAATCATAAGTGCACACATACACACAAAATACAAGTTATATTGCACACACGCACGCACACACATATGCACACACACACGCACGCACACACCTTCTTATAACCGCGGCCTAGGCTTGGTGTTCTGTGGCTGAGTTCAGGGAAAGGTTTCCTTTTCTCTTCTAACACTGAAAGAGAACAACGTGGCTGGAATTATTAAAGTATAAATGCCTGTGAAATCCAAGTATGCAGCTATTCAGTCCATGGGGATGGCCATGTGACCATCTCCAGACCTCGCTCTGGGCTCTAATGTTGTCCATGTGGAAAGGTCAGAGGTTACAGTGTGGGTCAGGGGTAAGGCTTGAAGTTACACACTTGGGAATGGCATTAGGGAGTGTGTTCACATGATCGGACTCATCCTTTAGAGACTTTGTATGTGTTGCAGGACATGGGAACATAGAAGAGCCTGCAAGATGACAGATTTAGTGGTTCAAAGACCAAAAGCAGTGCAGCGAAGGCTGTTTTGGGCTGTAAGAAGGATACAACTTCTGTATGAGGTCATAGGCATGGCGGTAGTTCTGGGTCAGGAAGCAGAGGGAGACGGTTGCCACAGGGTTGTGACACCATGAGCGGTACAGGCAGCAGAACAGAGCACAGCTCTCCTGCAGAACAACCAAAAGAGTCAGGATTAGAAACACACACACACACACACACACACACACACACACACACACACACACACACACACACACACAGACAAACACACACACAGACAAACACACACACACATGGGCTCTAATGTTGTCCATGTGGAAAGGTCAGAGGTTACAGTGTGGGTCAGGGGTAAGGCTTGAAGTTACACACTTGGGAATGGCATTAGGGAGTGTGTTCACATGATCGGACTCATCCTTTAGAGACTTTGTATGTGTTGCAGGACATGGGAACATAGAAGAGCCTGCAAGATGACAGATTTAGTGGTTCAAAGACCAAAAGCAGTGCAGCGAAGGCTGTTTTGGGCTGTAAGAAGGATACAACTTCTGTATGAGGTCATAGGCATGGCGGTAGTTCTGGGTCAGGAAGCAGAGGGAGACGGTTGCCACAGGGTTGTGACACCATGAGCGGTACAGGCAGCAGAACAGAGCACAGCTCTCCTGCAGAACAACCAAAAGAGTCAGGATTAGAAACACACACACACACACACACACACACACACACACACACACACACACACACACACACAGACAAACACACACACAGACAAACACACACACAAGACCAATCCATACAGAAAAGAGAGCTCAGCTTATTTCACTCTCATATACTGATTCATGCTTTCATGGCCCAGGCCCAGACCTGTGTGCGCAGATCCTTGAGTTGGTTGCGCAGCTGAAAGAGCTCTGCAGATGTCAGCAGGATGGTGTTGAGTGTCTGCACCATAGTGGAGGCAAATTTCAGGTCCTCCTCTTTCAACAGGATGTCTGCCATGGAGTGGAAGATGTTCTCAGCATGTAGCAGCAGACACAGCTGCCTGAGAAAGGAGAGAGAGAGAGGGAGCAGGGGTCACTGAGGATGCCTTATACAGGTGAAACAACAGAGATGCCCCTGAGGGAGGAGCGAGACAGGGAGAGAAAGTGAAAAAATGATGGAGTGCTGCAACTGGAGTCCCGCAGCAACAAAAACATTTGACAAGCCTTCCGCCCCTGTTTTGACATTACATGATATCTGAATAAAGTAAACAAAACCTAAATTTGTAAGGAGTTATGTTATCAGAAATCGGCTCTGTCAATGCGGACAAGGCTAGAATAACAGTATTTCTTTTGAATCCTGATCACCAACAAACAGGAAATACTTTATAACACAGTAGTACAATACTGTCTGCAAAAACAAACTTGCATTGGTTGTTAGATTAATAGTCTGGCAATATCTGCCCAAAAAGAAAATGAACAGGAAGAACCATATTTTTTGTTTATATGAATTCTAACAGCAATTAATCCTTGCGTTGGTGAAGCTGCATGATCACGCCAACACACCACCTTTTAATTTGAGTAAGGAAGATAGTAAAAAAAAATAGAGTGAAGGGGAGAGAAAAACAGAGACAAGTATAAGGTACTGACTCTTTGAAAAGACAGTGCTGCAAAGGCTGATGCTGTGTTTCCACTGTGCTGCCCCACCTATTCTGCCAAACACTACTTTCCTCATGCTTCTGATAGCATTAGAGGTCCAGTGGTAGGACTTTCACCTGCCACGTGGGAGGCCGGGGTTCAATTCCCAGCCAACAAAAACTTTTTATTTTAATCTCCTTTTCGAACCTAATTTGACAGCAATTTGCTTTTGATTCGATTCCCAGCTAACAAAAACGTTTTCATCTTTCATTCAGTGTCTCATCTTCTACTCCAAAGGACCCTGTCTTTTACCTGGCTCCTCTCCATCCCAACATCACAAAGCATGACTACAAATACAAGCTACAAAAACCACAACAATCTACTTTTCTACACTTTATCGGAGGTAGAGACTCACTGAGGGGGTGCCTTAGGAAGGTTGCAGAACAGAAAAGACAACTGTCAGAGAAGCAGGAGTAAAGGATATAGAGAGTAAATGAGAGGAAGTGAGGGAAGGAGAGAAACTCTCCTGCAGTTATAGGCAGCATAACAGACTGTTATTTGTCAACACAATTACATTATTTGGAAATCAAATTATTTCAGTTTGAAAAAGAAGTACATCTGACATCTGAAAGACATCTAACATCTGACACTGTCTTTAAACAGTATGTTTTAAAAAAGGTTACATTTCTCTTTGCTAGAGGTTGATGAGTTGACTCAAGTAATTTAGTGAATTAATAGAATCCAATAATATTAGAATAATTTAAAATATAAGCTGTCAGCTGTCCTGTCAGATTGTTATGCTAACAAGAGTCCGTTCCTAAGGTGTTCTTCAGCAACAGTTTTGGACATTCTATAAAGAGAAACAGAGACAAACACAAAGCTGATGTGTCAGCTGTTAGAAAAGGCAAAAGAGAGTAGCCCGAATAGGCAAAATGAGCAAGAATTGGCTGCCCACATTATGTTTGGGTATTAACTTATTTTGCAGCTGTTTCTGCAATATTATATGCAAAATATGTATTCGTTCATGTAAACAAACACTGCTATAGTCTATTTCATGTAAATGTAAATGGTATATATTAAATTTAAATTTAAGCCTCAGACTTGGTAGCTCAAGGCTAATCCTCATTCACGCTGCATGAAAGGGAAGGCCATCTTTTACCCTTGTGTTTACAGTGCACAATTGTGTATGGATATTAGTTCTTAGAATAATATTAAAAGATATGCTGCCAGATATCCTGTCAGATTGTTTATTATGCTAACAAGAGCATCCTCCTAGGGCGTCCTTCGGAGGGAGTTTTGTACAATATGTACAAAAAATCAGAGAGAGAGCTACAGGATATAACTGAGTGAGTCTTACACAGGTGTTACATGAAGAAACAGAGAGCTGCCTGATAGGAGAGAAAGAGAGAGAGAAAGCGAGGGAGGGAGGGAGCGATGTTCCACACAAGGGAGCCAGTACACCCTGTACTTTGAGGAAGAACAGTCGATAAAGAGGGTGAAGTTGATCACAGTTCTCCATATTTAAGAGATGTTAACGGACATGCAGCCTACTTTTGCATGCATATCAACAACCTTACAGCCCCCCAGCCCCCCAACCAATACATTTTCACTGGCTGTTCAGTTTGTCCTCCTGTGCACTCCTACACAACACAAGGGATGCAGGTACGATACATGTGAGACACAGCCAGTGTTAACTGGTGGCAGAACAGCAAGAGGAGAGCAGCATGATGTCTCTATTTTCATCTCAGATCACTGGGACCAGCTCTACTGAGAAAATAATGTTACCCAAAAGCTTTCTAGGGCCTAAGCAAATCGCTTCATCGATGCCAATCCAATTATATTAAGGCAATGTGTCTGCTGCTGCTGTCGAGTTATCATTCAGAGATACATAATGGCCAATGGCACTGCTGTTGATCTGATACAGATACACTCACACATACTCAAGCACGAACACATACATAAATACATGTGAGTGCGCGCACACACACACACACACACACACACACACACACACACACACACACACACACACACACACACACACACACACACACACACACACACACACACACACACACACACACACACACACGCAGGAGTTGCCATAAGCCTTGATCCAGTGGCACCATCTGTCACTCGATGTCCCAGAGTCCCAGTGAAGCCATTACTACCACTCCTCTCTCTGCCATCTGAAATGCCATCAGTCTCCCCGAGCAGTCCAGAGCAGACTAAAGCAATCGCCAACTGCAACCAGGATGAGAATGCAAATGCAGGGACCATTTACCAGTGTGCCTCACTGTCGCCATGGGAACAGCTTGCAAAAATCAGCAGGCCAGAGTAATCAGCTGAAGTTACACAGATGGTGCATTAACCTAGCTTGCACAAAGAATTGCAGTTTTTTTTTTTTTTAACAATGTTGTAATAAGCTCATACTTTCTTTTTTTACCCTCCTTAAACCATAACCTTCCAGCATTTGTAAATAGGTCAACATGATGCCTTGATTTTTTTTTTTTTTTTTAAAGCTGTATAAATGACTCTCTTGCAGACCAACAAAAATGTCTGGACAGGGGAGCTGCATACTCATTAAAGCCTTAAAAAGACGAAGCTGGCTGTCTGCTGTACCCACACCATCAGCCATGCAGCCGTTACTGGGCCTCTGACTCCTACACACTCACACACCTAAATCACAGTGCAAGGCTGGCAACAGGAAATGGCCATATGCCTGGCTACGACCCTACAGAAGGTCCTTTCATATAGCCCTCTCTCATTGCTTCTGACAGGGTAGCTTCTATACACCTCTCATGTGCAATGAGCACAACTGATTAGTAAACATGTGAAAGCCTTTTGCCCCATCAATCTCTCAAGAAGGTGTTAAAAGCCCCCGGGGCGTGGCCTTCACATGCCTTCACAGCGACTGGCCAATGATGATGGAAATGTTAGTCCTAAGGCACAGACAGTCATGGGCCAGCCAAGAAACTGTCCAGTCTTCTTTCACCAAGCATCTCACCAAATGAGTGACACAGTAACACTCAACTTGGCGCCTGCAAAGGAAGTGTCAGCGATCTAACAGGCTCAGACATCTATGCACAGCGGATTTGGCAGTAGATTCTCTGGCTAAGATATCTCACTGCCATGGAGGGCATTCCAGCTAACAGCTCTATGCGATAATTTTGAGTCATTTTATTCATTATCATGTTTATCTGCTTGGGGGACGCCATCATAGACTGGAACCTGCAACCCCTATGTTCCACCCACAGAAATTTGTACTGAAGGGTCTTACAGTAATTTCTTTAACCCACACATCAGAAATGACGTTGTCCAAAAGAATAAATTCAGTGATCTACTGGACCCTGATTCTACACCTATGACACTTAGATGCAGCAGATGAGTTTTATGCTCCACTAATGAGACAAACTGGCCTTCCATGAAAGATGTGGAAAAACACATAGCCTTGTACAGCTATAGGTTGGATTAGAAAGGCCTTAAATTTTCTGACTTTTTACAAAAAAAACAGAAGCACCATGAGTGAACTTGTCTTACACCACACCAACAACAGTATGGGACCACAGTTCCACAGTGCCTTGCTCCCAGCCAAACTTTCTACCTCCTCAGGAAGCAAGTCACACACACTGGGATCAACAAGAAAGCATATTATGGGCTTCAACGGTCATAAATGAAAATGTTTTATAAATGCTTGAATCTCATCATCATGACACACATGGTGAGGGAAATTTTTATCCTGTGCATTATCATAATCATTGGAGTGAAGTTTGTACAGTGATCATGATGGCCTTTGTACTGTGTATCCCACGGACTGTCTGTGATGGGACAGTGAATGGTCCAGGGGTGGGGACAGTGTGGGCCTCAAGTGCCTGAGGGGGACAGAGGGGACCAGGCAGGGGCAGCAAGGAGCACAAAGGAAGGGGCACTGTGGGAAGTAGAGGGGACAGAAGTGGAGAGAGGAGGGTGGTGCAGAGAGAGGTTCACCAGGGGTCACAGAATGTGGCTGTGGGCAGTGGCCTGGTTTTCCTCCTGTTATTCTACTGACCTCCGCTGAGGAGACAGACAGAAGCCTGAGGCCAGAAAGATATGTAATGACACCGAGAGGGAGAGAGTGAGAGAAAGGAAGAGAGGGCAAGAGAGAAGTGAGGGATAGAGAGAGAGAGATTGAGAGAGAGAGATAAAAAAAAGAGAGTGATGATGATGCTGACAGAAACAGGCGCACTTCTTAACAAGTACTATCAATGTCAATGGGGAAACACATGCAAATGCTTGAAAACAATGAATTGGTACAAGCGAGGGATGAGGGACACCTGGCCAATCAAAAACCTTCCAGTGTTACTGGGCAACACAGATGGGAATGTCTCTCATGAGGGACATTAATAGATGTGACTGAAGAGAACTCCTATCTAGTGGATGAAAGAAATCAGTGATGACAGCTCATTGTACCTGCATCCAACACAGGGGTCTTGAAACCTCATTCAACCATCACTGGGTGCCATCTATGACACACTGGTGAAGGCTGAGGTAGGTCATACCTGAGTCACTTTGAAGTACTTAGAGATCTTAGAAATGAGATGAAAGGCACTACATAAGCAAACTCTGGAGGACGAGAAGCTGGAGAATTTGGTATTATAAATGCTGACTACATTTCACGGTTGAGGAGCTGAAGTTAGAGAGCAAAAAAAAAAAAAAAAAAAAAAAATGTTCATGGTCAAATTAAAGTCCTGTCAGCAGTTTTATTTTCAGCTGCGCAACTGCCTGCCCAGGCTTCGGCCCTGATGCGGTGTCCATGACAACGAGGACAAGGATAAACAATTAAGAAGGAGGTCACTCCCTTTAAGAGCCCCAGAGTGTGGTAAAGCTGAGCACTCCTCTATTGCTCTAATTCCCAACATAGTTTGCAGCAGACTACACCACCACAGGGGGAACACAAGAACACCCCAACTTCAGCACTAAAATTGTCAAAACTAAGAAGGCAATACATACTTAATTTATTGTTCCTGTTCAAGACTTCTTCAAAAATAAGAAAACAAACCTGTGGTTTCTACTTCCCAACCTCCCTGCCCACCCCCCATTCCAAACCTCCTCTGTTTCTGTTCAAAGGAAACAGACCTCATGCTCAAAATATTTACAAGGAGACCTGTTTACAATGCTTCTTACCCCAAAGCATTGT